GCTTTTATGCATAGCCTTCGGCTCCATTACATATTGTTCGGCCATCACCAATGGGCTAAGGCTACACCAACTGTAGCAAGTGGATCCGACACCATGTCTCAACCCAAAACCTTAAGGCATTGGGTTCATGGATCCTTTCACTTATATACTCTTCACTTAGCTCATTACCAACCAATGTGAGACTCATCACACTTGAATATCTCAACAATCTCCCCCTCAAGTGTGAAACCCAAGCGCAAAGTACTCGACCCGCCTCCTCACCAATCACTGGGCTGAGCTCTTTGGAGCTAAATCCGGCTCTGATACCAGAGTTGGGAAATTGAAGTTCCCTCAAACTCCAATGTCAAGCGGGTCCAGGGGAAGCACGTGGCGGGGGCCACCACCAATAAGCTAAGGCTACACCAACCGTAGCAAGTGGATCCGACACCATGTCTCAACCCAAAACCTTAAGGCATTGGGTTCATGGGTAACTTCACTTATATACTCTTCACTTAGCTCATTACCAACCAATGTAGGACTCATCACACTTGAATATCTCAACAGTAGCTCTATAGAGGTCAACAATGTTGTGCATGAATTCTTCTCTGGGAATGCAGTTCATTCCACTTCTACAGTATTGCACCGTGCACTTGATGAGTTGGTGAAGGAATTGAAGCTGGTTGGGTATGTAGCTGACACATCTCTAGTCTTTAATGCAGACATAGAAGATGAAGAGAAAGAAATTATTCTTAGATACAATAGTGAGAAATTGGCCATTACTTTTGGGCTTCTGAATACACCCCCTGTAACAACAATTCGTGTGGTCAAGAACCTTAAGAGTGTGTGGGGACTGTCATAATGCTGCTAAATTTATATCATTGATCTTTGGCAGGCAAGTTATTCTCAGAGATGTTCAGCGATTTCATCATTTCAAAGATGGGAAATGTTCCTGTGGGGATTACTGGTAGAGGAATTTGTTGAGCCGATATTTGATTTTCTTACAAGATTGAAAAAAAAGGTCTATTTATTGCCACATAATTAATTGCTATTATTTGTGTTTGAAATAGTCACTATATATGGAGCCCGGAAGAAGAAAGATTTGTTCCTGTAATCTTTGGAATGGATTATCGTCATGATTGTGAAATTCAGATAACTAGTAAATAGTTACATAGAACACGTTGTATATATTATTAGGCAAAATCACTTCTCATATTGTTGGAGGGGAAGAATTTTTGCAGCAACTCATTATAACTATATAAATATATATTAAGAATTGTACATAGTTATTATAATAATAAAATTATTTTTTCTCTTTTTGCTATGTCAACTGATAATGTGTGATTAGAGAGAATTTTTTATTATTATTATAATTATGTATTATCTTTAATACATAGTTATAATAAATTACAAAGTTTTTTGCTTCCAACAACAGGGGAAGTGAGCGACCCATATAAAGGTTCAGGTTCATTGTCATGTAATATAACTCTTTCCTATTGCTGCTGTTTTTTGACATAGAAGTTTGTTTATATAAATAAAAAGGGAAGGATTATACTTACTACCTCCTAAGTTTACTATTTTTACTACTAAATTAGCACCATTAGATTAACTTTTAATCTAATGGCTCATATTTACCCCTTATGATCCTAAACTTTCCCTCAATCACTCACCCCCTTTCTCTCTCTCTCTCTAGTTCACACGCTCATCTCTTTCTTAAAATTCCCTTTCTCCATCGTTCTTTCTCTCTGCACTCGAATAAATAACTAGAAGGAAGGCTAACAAAGTAACCATAAGTATCATAAATAAGAATAACGGATGGATCATAGCAAGCGTTAATGATAGTCATTACTATTCAGATAAATCTTCTTGAGCATTATGAAAGATAAAAGCATCCAGGAAAATCTTCAACATACCAAAATAACAAGAAACATATTTAGTCTGGATAATTGAAATACTTGATACTTAATACGGTTAACACAAACGACATGTTTAAGATCAGCAGACCTTATACAGATCTTTATATTTTAATGTCTTTTTCTGTATTTTTTCTTTTTAAAGTGGTGGAGTATGTGAAGAAGTACCTCTCTCTTCCTTCATCGTTCTTTCGCTTCCGGTTCCATTCGTTGTCACAACCATGAACGGCGACTGTGAGCAGCAAACACTGGCCGAAAACTCCTTTTCATCGCAATGCATGCCAGCGAGCATCACTCCCGAGATAAGTTTTGTTACTTATATGTTGTTGTGTCCAGTTTCTGTCTTTTAATTAAAGGCTTGGGTCTTATGCTCATTGAATTTGTTGCTAATTGATGGGGTTTATGCTCCTAATTTCCTACTAGGTTTACCTAAATTATAGTTTAGAATCATTATAAAAACAAAACTTGTTGATATTTTAAATTTGTCTTTTTAAAAAAATAATCAAATTATTATACATAAAAAACCCCAAAGTGAAAGAGAATAGAAAGCACTGATTGATGAGGTTTATGCTCCCAATTTCCCAATAGGGTTTACGTCGTGCTATTCTTATGACCCTTGTTTGCTACCATTTCTACTATTATACAGCATGCTTGTAATGTAATGTTAGGCTATTCATAATTTCATATAGTGTATTTGATTCATAGAAACAATGTTGTTATTTTTTTTTCTATGCAAGTGGTGCACCGTGCACATTTAAAGCTCCTAGTTGACCCATTAGTACCAAACGATTTCAAAGCAGCATTCACTTTGTGCTATTTTTTTATATATATCCCATAGATTTCGACTATATAATAGTCACTTGTTTATTTCAATGAAGGTCAATATGGAAGATGATCCAATTAATTATATTGACTTCAGTCACAATTGTGTGTCAAATGAAATGGAATATGATGGAGTAGGAAATGAGATACCTGATGACATGGAAGATGACATATCATATGACTTGCCTAACAATATGTCAATTGTCATTCCATTTTCACTTACAAAGAATACTAATATTTCCATTGAGGTAGGAGTGAAATTTTCCGAATGGAAGGATATAGTAAACTTATATACAGCATTTGGTAGGATAAGAGGATTTGGAATCCGGAGACGAACATCCAGGGAGGACTACGTGAAGCTAACATGTATTAGAGAAGGTTATCCACAAACTAAATTGGAAGAAAATGTGGGTAAGTTGTGTCAGGGCAAGTCAAGGAGAACATCATCGTCACGTATAGGATGTCAAGCTTGTGTCAAGGCTTCTAGGAATAAAAAAACGAACATATGGAGAATTACACATTTCATTGACAGCCATAATCATGAGATGGTTACTTCGAAAAGTGTTGCATATCTGAGATCACACAGAAAAATGCTCGATGCTGCAAAATGATTGCTAGAAAAATTCAACAACTCGGGTTTGCCAACTGGAAAGGTGGCCACCATCTTCAAAAGCCATGATCTGGGGTTTGACAGTCGAGATTGTTATAATCATATGAAAAATGTGAGGAGAAGGATATATGATGCTGGGGATGCACAAGCGGTGCTACACTATTGTATTAAACAACAATCATTGAATCCAGATTGTTTTTATTCCATCAAGTGCGATGATGATGATCGAATGGTAAGCTTTTTTTGGATTGATGCAAGATCCAGACATGCCTATGAGCTTTTTGGTGACGTGATAACGTTTGACACGACATATAGGACTAACAAGTATTCCATGCCATTTGGACCCTTTGTCGGTGTAAATAATCATATGCAGTCGATCTTGCTTGGATGTGCTTTATTACAAGATGAAACTGAGGATACCTTTGTATGGCTATTCGAGGAATGGCTACGAGCAATGAATGAGAAACATCCAGTTGCCATAATTACTGATCAGGTATGATCAATTTGAAGAAATTTTTATCAATGTTTTATATATCATCTCAAATGTGATGGTTTATTACTGACTGTATACTTACTAGTGCCACTGAATATATAGGACATGGCAATTAGCAATGCAGTCGCCAAAGTTTTCCCAAACACGAAGCATCGATTTTGTTTATGGCACATCATGAAAAAGTTTCCTGAGAAGTTATCTCATGTTTACCATGAGCATGCATCATTTAAGAAGCATCTGAATGAGTGTATATGGAGCTCCAAGTGTGCTCAAGAGTTTGAAGAAAGATGGCAACATCTTCTTGTTCAGTATAGTCTTCACGAAAATGTGGCTGCATGTACTCTACTCAATTAGATCGTCATGGGTACCAATCTTCAACAGATCCACTTTTTTTGCTGGTATGAACACTACTCAGCGCAGTGAAAGTATAAATTCATTCTTTGATGGTTTTGTTACATCTGGCACAACTTTGATGAAATTTGTGGAGAAATATAACCAAGCATTAGATGCTCGGTACGAGTCATTCAAAAAAGAATACTTTGAATCTAAGCACAAAGAAAGGCTTCTGACATTTAATATGGCATTAGAGGAGCATGCAGCTAAAGTGTATACCCGTGCAATTTTTTTAAAGTTCGGCGAAGAGCTTTCTCTTAGTTTACAATTATCTAAGGAGAAACTTGGAAATGACATTGGGTGGGTTACCTACCACGTTTTTAATAAGAAGGACAACAGAGATTCTGCAATAGTTGAGATAAAATTGGAAAACAGAGAAGCTAGGTGTTCTTGCCTTTATTTTGAGTCCATGGGAATCTTATGCCGACATGTTCTTTCTATTTTTTTGATTGAAAATGTCGAGCAGATCCCTGAACACTTCATCTTGCGTCGTTGGCGAAAAGAAGGAAATGATATACGAAGCATAGACAATGACAATTGTACAACTGATGGAGATAGACTTCTTCGTAGCTTTCACCTACGCTCTAGATATTCCAGACTAGATGAGCTTGCATATGCATCGAGTGAAGCATTTAGATTCATTTGTGATGGTATTGATTCTCTCTCTCTAGCTGCAGAAAAGTTTGTGACATCCGAGGAGACTACTGGTCTTAGCGATTCTAATTTACAATACTTGAGTCATAATTCAGAAGAGTCTTGTATGAGAAACTTGAAGGATCCCTACATTTCTCAAACAAAAGGGCGAAAAAAGCACTCTCAAAATACTTCACAGGGACGCAGGATTCGTAGTGGGATTGAAGAAGCATCAAAACATACTAATATATGTGGAAATTGTAGAAAACGAGGACATAATAAGTGCACATGCAAAGACATAAATCTAAATTCAGTATAGTTTCAATGATATTTTTTATTACAACAAATGATGATATTTGGGCTGAATACATTAAGGTATGTTGCTTCATCTTATGCTCTGTTGTTATTAATTAAATATCAAAAAATGATACTTTCTATTACAAATTTTTAATTACCGAAATTGCCAAAGATGATACTTGCTTGTAAATGCCAGGTTACTTCTCCTATGCAGATGGGGTGTAGTGTGAAAAAAACTTGCCTCTTTTTTTCCCAATGTTATCCATTTAGTATTGTTAGATAATATCTATATAGCTATGTAATAGAATAATTTTTTTCATGTAGAATTTACAATATTCGTGTGTGTTTGCAGGAAGATTTAACTTTGAGCTTGTTGGCTAAGTGCCAGCAATCAATTTATGTCATCAAGAGGATTGTGGAAAGCACCGCAAAGATGAAGTGACACTTTTTGAGACTTTATATCTTATTGCTTAGCTGCAACATGTAGTTTCAAATATGAGGAGTTGGAAGCTTCTCAAATGGCAGGGGCACAACAGCCACAAAATGCGGACACAGCCAAGCATGATGCGGAAACTGTTAAAAAAGAATAGTTATATTGATTTGATTTTAGATAAGAAGAGAGATAACTGTCATTAAAGGAAGTTTTAGTTCTAGATTATGTTGTCTAACTTTTATTTATTTTTGGATCTGAGTGTGAAAGAGTCGTATTTGCCAAAGCTACATCAGGTTGCATTCCAGACAAATAAATCTCAAGATTATGTCTCTCTATGTTTATGTGTGTTTTGAATGAAAGGGTATTATTTTCTTTGATTTTTTTCTTCTT